CACACTTTTTGTTTGTTTGACTTGAGACAGAGTCTCATTCTGTAACCCAGATTGATCTCCAACTCCAGTAATCCTCCTGCCTCAGCCTCCCAGTTATAGGGTTTATAAGTGTTATCTAACAAACCTAGCTTCTGAGACTTTCTTGATATAACATATTTTAGGATTATATAATCTTAGGAAAGTTTTTTTCTCTTGTACTGTATCAGAGAAAGGCATTGGTATTAAATCTGAGGCAAAATTTAAATTGCTTTCTAGCAAAGATCCTCAAAAACACAGAGCAATCTGCTTCTGTGACCAGAGGTGGACAGCCATGCAACTCCTCATTCAAAATACTGTAACATCACATTAAAAAAATTTTTTTTTTGCTTTGATGTTAGCATTTCTGCTTGTCCATAAAGAAGCAACATGAGACAGAAAACAATGTTTTTCCCAGGTGGTCCTTTATTCATTAATATCACTAAACTAAACATAAGGGAATGAAGTGTTGAAATGTGTAACTTCTGAGGACACTGCAATTTAAAGAAAAGAGCTGAGTGTGTCTGGGGGTCACCCCGATTCTGACTTTTACCTCTGTGTGCTTCACGTTTCTGTAGAGTTGACATGGGTGAGAAAGGCAAAGGAAATACAGGGGGCAAACAGCTAGAGGGGGGTGTAACCGAAGGGCTATATTACTGCAAACTACCCCAAACCATTCAGAGCCATCGCAGAAGAATAGGATGACAGCTAACTGTCCTGTACTTCATTATAAAGTCATCTCTATCAGCAACTTGACAAAACTTCAAGATGCACAGGCTGGAAGGAAGAAAAAGCCACACAAATGGAAATCAAAGGAGCAGAAATAGCTATATCATACACAGTAGAGCTGACTTTACATTATAAACAGTTCAACGAAACACAAAAAAGCATCATTTTCTGATAAAGGGATCAATTAACAAGAAGATTTCACAACTGAAAATGTATGTGCACTCAAAACAGAAACCTCAAATATTTAAAGGAAATATTAGACCTAAAGGGAGAGATGGACTCTCAAACAATAACAATGGGAGGATATAACATATCTCAGTGGAAAGATAATCCCAACAGATAATCAACAAAGAAACAGCTATAGGTGTCCACATACAATTCCACACAACAGTAAGGAAATAATAAGAAGATTTCAGATTTTATATCAGAACTAAAGAACACATATTATGTTAAAGTTTCCCATTTATAAAGGCTACTATGGCGATGTCATGAACAGGGAAATATAAGAATCTAATTCTACAAATCAAAGTACATCTGTAGATCTTTGTGTCACAAAATCTCATGTTTAAAAGACTGAAATGTTTTACTTTATCTTTCTCGTCCTCCGTCCCTCCGTCCCGCCATCCCTCCGTCCCTCCCTCTCTACCTCTCCAATTCTTCCCTCCCTCCCTTCTTTCTTTCTGCTCTCCCTTCCTTCTTTTGCCTCTTCCTTTCCTTTTTTCATTCTTCTTTTCTATTTTCCTTTCTTTGTCTCTCTGTCTATGTCTCTGCCTCTGCCCCTTTTTCTCCTGTATGCACTCTATTCTAATTGCTTTGTGTCTGTTTGTGGTAATTGCTTCCATATCCATCATTCTATTTGTCATCTTGTGTCCTAAGAAAGAACTAATAAAATCTGTGGCCACTTTACTTATGTAGCTTTTAAAAAGTTCTTTAGCACTATGCCTAACTTTAAGATATGTATAACACATAATGTGCATATGAATGTGTACATGTGTGTGAATATAAATGTTTTAAGTATATTTTTGATGACTATAGCTACTTTTGGAAAAGTGTTTTTCAGGTTCCTTATTTTAACCAAGCTGAGACAAAATTCAACTATAACAATTTGGAGTTAAAGCTGAAAAAAATAATGTTCTTTTCTGTATACAGTTTAAAAACTTACAAAGGCATCTTGAAGTTTACTGATCTTGGTGTGTTTTGTCACAGCATAACTGTGATATATCTTTTACAATGCATCTGGGGAAGCGACTCATCTCTGTGCTTTCATATCTTTAAAGAAAGATAACATAATTTAGGCAAACAGCTGTTAAACAACTAGCATGCTATACTGAAGGTAAATGGGTGACAGACACAAAAGATAAAACAAACAACAACAACAAAACAATAAAAATGTCTATTTTTATTCTGCCTTTGGTTGGCTTGTAGACCAAATACGAAATTGTTTCCTTAAAAATACAATCCCCAAGTGTTTATTATAAGAAGTCTCAAGTCTTGAGCAAATAGTTAATTGAAATTCATTAAAAAATATATATAACTATTAACATGTTTTGCCTTTATTGATAGATATTTAATATTTAAGATACTACATATATTTTTTCTGTGTTTCAGGTGCAGTGTCTTGAGGTTCATTTAAAATATATTTGCTTTATAAAGAAGACAGCATTTTCTAAATTTTCTGAAGAAAAATAAGGCAGAAAGTAACCACTAAGTAAGATAAAGAGATATAAATACAGTGTATTTAGAATGAGGATTACATAAAAGGGTGATGCTTTCAGATGATCAATGTTTTTACATGGAGAGTCTGTCCTAATGTACAGGATTGATAATACAGACAGATGAGCACAGAATCGAAGGCTAAGACATGTTATAAAAAGATTGTGAGAGGCAAAACAGAGAGAGATAAAATTGTTATACATAAATTGATTATAATTAAAATTTACTAAATGTTTTAAGTTCAAAATCCAATTCCCTGAGATAAAACTAGTGTCTGATTCTCTTAATGGAGATTACCAGATATGTCTAGATTTGTGTCCAGTTGACAAGCACTAACTAGGGATAGAGAATGGCTTAGCACAAACCAAGTGAAAGCATGAGACATCAAAGAAGTCAAACAAAAACTCACATAATCATTTCAATGGATACAAAAAAATTATGTGATTAATTAGATTTCCTGTCAGGGTAAAAATTTCTCTATTCTACAACTTAAGCACGTTAAGGAACATACCACAAAATATTGCAGTAGAAAATTAAAAAAGAAGAAAAAAGCCAGCCTCCCACTGAGTAAGTATAGACTTTCAGCTTCCTCTAGATTAGGAACCAGATTAAGAACGCCCATTTTTACCATTCTTGTTTAATATAGTACTAAATAAAAGTCTTTGTAGAAACAATTAAGGAAGAGAAAAAATAAATAAAGTGATTCTAAAGATGCTAATTGTCTGTGTTGGTAAATGATGAGTTTCTATATTTAGAAGAATCCAAAATTTGGGCAAAATACAACCCAAGAAATAGTAACATTTTTATACTAATAGTAAAATTACTCAAAAAAGAGGCTAAGAAAGCAATCCCACTCTCAATAGCTATAAAAGTAGCAATAACCAAGGCAATAAAATGTCTACAGTGAAAATTACGGAGCATGAAGTAAAGAAATTATGGAGGGCATAAAAATGGAAGCATGTTAGAAGTTTGTGAATGAGATGAACAGATTGGACAGACGGTTCAGCACCGTTGACACTTACCGCTCTTGCACAGGACCAACATTTGGTTCCCAGCACCCTCAGCAGCCAGCTCACAACCACCTGTTACTTCAGTTTCAAAGGACTTGCCACCTTTTTCTGGCCTCCTTGAGCACATACATGGTATATATGTATGTACTCAGCCCCCCACACACATGTAAAATAATAATGTAATAAAATAAATCTTTTAGATGTGTTGTAAAAATTATATATATATATATATAATCATATATATAATGACAACAAATAAAGCTGTAGTATGTAAACTTCTGGAACTGCCAATGCACTGTGACCCTCAGCCACACCACACTACCTTTGGGCCATGGTCAGAACAGTTCATTCAGAGTGTCCTTCAAAATTACACCCCAGAATGTGGACTGTGGAAATGGAAAGTAGAAAGCCTTGGATAACACTGAAAACACCTTAGGGTTCACACCACAATTAAGGTTCATAGTCAGGATTTTTTAAAGACAGTTTTGAAAAACAACCCTTGCAGACATTTCATGATCCAGCTGGTGTGCAACAGTAAAACATACCAGGACCAGAAGAATAAATCTTGAACATTTCATGACATCACTTGGAAACCTGAAATTGCCTGTGCTTTTCATGGCCATAAGCAAATTGCACTTATTCAGCCATTTTATCAGTGTGATACAGGGAGAGCACAGATGCTATTTTATTACTTCTGTTTCCTCCAGTTGTCAGACAGCGCTCTGAAACAGTTTCTCATAGCAGACGGCTTAGTACCCACAACAGGCTTTTCAAACTCTATAATTTTTACCAAGATTCATTCTTTTTTAGCACTCAAGTTCCAATCCTCAGTTCAATCTTAAATCTTAGAGTGAGCAAAATCATTAGAAATATATGGGGTCAAAGAGAGTGACCAGACTCAGGCGTGTCGATGGCATGAGAAGTGTAAGCATGATGCACATATAGCAATGTGCAAGTCTGAAGAGACCAGTCCTGAGTTCCCAGGTCCGGCTCTGGTGCAGGCCTGTGTTTTGGAGAGTTTGCAGGTGCCTCTGCCTACAGCCTGAATGCCTCACACAGCCTTCAGTTGCAGAATTGCAGCTCTCATTCTACCCTAGAGTTTATGTCCAGACATGTCAACTGTGAAGGCAAGAAGAGAAAAACCAAATAGCCAAGCCACTTTCAGAAGAATAAATTAGCAACTAGCAAATAAAGTATTTTCTGATGGAAACTGAATTATCAAGTTAAGAAACATCCTCCTACCTCTAAAGTGGAACTCAAGCAGGAAGGCACTCACTAATTAAAGTTCAAATGCATGCAGGCACTAGTGAAATAGTAAAATAAATCCCACTGAGATTCCATAATTCCCTACATCTTTGCACTGTCGCCCACCTGTCTTGCTTGTTGTTAAGGGGGCACTTAAAAGCAGGTCACAGCCCCATGCTGTTTTATTCCCATCTATGCTTCAATGTGCATCTCTAAAATCAGAGAAAATTTCTTTTATAGCCACCACACTGTCAGTAAATTTTTAAATAAAAATTCTTGTTTTTTAAACAGGGGAGAGTGCAACCAAAGTCCCCCACTACCACAAATTAGGCAGTCAAGTTTCCCAAATTTGGGGAAATCGCAGGGGTCAGCACACCCCAAGAGCAATCGGTGGGCCTCGCCCTGGGAAAACCATCTACTTGATCATGGTGTCTCCCCTGTCAGGTAAGTATGAAATAAAAATGTTTACTTCAAAGAAAATATAGGAGGCATCAGGAGTTCAAGGTCATCCTCAGCTACTTTGAGAATTTGAGACTAGCTTGGGATACATAAAATCCTGAAATTCTGTCCAAAAACAACAACAATAAAACTAACAAACAAAAGAAAATACCCGTTGCAAAATAAAATACACATTAAAGGATAAAAAGGAATAAAGCTAAATTTGAAATGAAGATAGAATGACACCATTAAGTCAGCAACAAAAGTGTTAAACAGGCGTGCACCCTGAAATCTTATTCTAACTTTAAATCCAACCATCCAACTGCTTGCTTCACTGGGCAGAAACTGCCAGGCACAAGATTCAATGTCTATAAAGGAGAAACAGCATCAATTCTCAAGAGAATGTAACTTTTCCAGTCCCTAAAGTCTGTGAGGAATTTCTCCTTGCTATCTTTATGAAGAAGACCGTGTGAGATTTATTAGACAATATATTTACAAAATCCCCACAATAAATACAAAAGCCATTTTGTGCTGCTCCTGTTAGCGTGCCTCTGGCAGGACACAACAGAGAGCTGAGGTTCAGTTGAGTAAAAGTCATCCGCTAAGAGCCAGAGCCTCACCTGGCTGCCACCATCCCAAGATAGAACATAAAGCCCCTTCATTTCCGATAGGTGCTTAATTTCCCTCGCAGACTCCCAGCATCCCAATTCCCCCATTAATAACACAGTTCTAATTTTAAAAACTCAAATCCAGCTGTTATTACTTTTAAGTGCCGTTATCCATCGCAGCTCAGCATGACACCAAATGTGTCTTCCACATTCATTCATCATTTGTGAATTTGGCCCGGACACTGGATTTTCTTCCTGCGTTGTTCAGGAAGGGTGCAAATGCCAAAAGCAATCAATCTGTGCAGCAAATCAATGTGAACAGCCATCAGGGGGAAGCACTAACCCTGAGGCATTTTTTTTTTTTTTTTTAATAGCAGTCGAATTTGTCTTTGGATCTAATGACTACAATACCCAGGCACTAAAGGAGCCATCTCCCTTTAGTTTATTTAAACAAACAAACAAACAAGTACCCCCCCCCTTCTGCTAGCTTTGCAGTTTCTAAGCTTCAGGAATAGCTTGAGGCTGGGGGCGGTCACACTCCTGTCAGAGATGCTAGCTGTGCTGCCTGCCTAGGCATCCTCAGCTCTACCAGTCCTGTGCTGCCGCATGGATCCTCCTTAAGCATTTGGCTTCCCAGCATCCTACTACCTACTGAGCATATCTGTGGAGGTGCAAAAATGCAATTTCTTTGTGTCCTCTGTGAGTGTGACATAGCTCACTGCGTTTTTAAAGATTTCCTCTTGGCTTCCGCTAACAGCCTTTGCTAGCTTCCTGCAGTTCTGCTTAGCACACACTTAAATAGACCCGTTTGATGTTGCCATCTCTCAGGAGTCCAACCAGAAAACCTACTGAAATCATGTATTTATGTGAGCTGACAGCAAGGAACAATAAGGGAGGAAAAAGAAGAAATAAGAAAATCTGAGTACATAAACAATTTCTTATGAAATGAAGGGAAAAATGAAAAGAAAGCAAAATTATTTGAGGAAAATTTGAACAATCCATAGTGATAAAATATGTCCTATTCACACATTGCATCTTTTCCTGGGTAGAAAATTATCATGTTAAAACCCCAGCAACAGCTCCAAGAAGCAAATGTCTTTGAAAACTCCGTTTCCGGGTAGCATCTCTGTATGCCTTTGAGATTTTTGCCTTCTGAAAATTATTGCCAATAGCACACACACACACACACACACACACACACACACACACACACACACACCAGTGCAGGAAACAGAATCAAGGTAATGGATGGCCTTTAAAAAGAGGTGCATAAAAATATTAATACAGAGAAATAAACTTGTAAAATCCAGGAGCAGTTCTAGCATCCAGCAGACTGAGGGAGGAGGCTATTAATACTGTTCAAGATCTGGGAACATCAGCTTACCTTTATCTTCTAGTAGACCACACAGAATTTTGTTGTCTTCAGCCTGTGATGTTTATATTATAAATACTTTACAAATGTCCCAAATACAGTCTTTAATTGGAAGTCTCCATGTTAAATTGCCTAGTGTTGCCTTACTTTTTTTTCTTTTGCTTTGTCTTTTTACTTTTTTTCTTAGATATTTGCTTCCTAAAATCCAAACCACAAATTATATGTGCCCCACAGTGACTCTGTCTGATTGAGGGTGTCTGATTGAGGGCTTCGTGTTAACACTGTGTTCAGTACCTGAAGATTTACAGTGCAATCAAGGGACTCACAATTACATTTAAAAAAAAAATTAAATTGGAGGCTGATATTTGGATAGTTTCTTGGAAAAGTTCAAGCTCCACATTAAAAACAGGGAGGATTTGGAACTTAGGGTGACAGGTCACAGAACCCCTCAGTCAAAGTGGGAATGGCCAGCAGAGGTGTGTAGAAGTTATTTCTCTCTGCTTACGGTGGGTTATAGAAGCCATCCTTTTGGCTAAGCCCAATGAACTGTCGGGAAGGTGTTGTAGCTGATGTGCACGCTTTAGTAAAAGCAGGGCTGTTTACTCAATGAATATATCAAAACCACAGCATGAGAAACCAGCCGCTGAGATCAGAGGACAAGAGGAGTCACCTTGGGAAGATGTGGGCTTGATTAAAGTAATGAGCTGTTCCTCACTGCTTTAGAAGTTGCCTTGCTTCAACTACCCAACTCTTACAATGCACAGAGTGCCCTTCTGGAACTCATCCACTTCTCCATCCACCATAGCTGAGTCTTTTTTTCCTTCTAATTAAGGGCTTCCAGTTCTTAATTGCCTAAATCTCTCTGGGGAAGTCTCAATTCACAAATCACAGATTGATTTGTTTGTGGTGGGACAAAATTACTGCTTTCCCTGTAGTTTTAAAATCTCCTCTAAATACCTGTAAGGATCTATATGATTGGGGTCATTCTTTATATGGAGCAGTAGTATATTACAGAAGAGAGAGTCTTAATGGCTCCATCCATATTTAGACTCACCATAGGCACAGAATCCCAAGTTTTATAATCAGGCTTCAAGACTGGAATAAAAAGGAATGGGGATTAGAGAAAATCCTTTAATTCCCTACATGATATTCTAATTTGAAGTAATAAATGAGAATGAATTATCTCTCTCCCTCCCTCTCTTTCTTTCTTTCTCTCTCTGTCATCTAATCCTTCACATTTTTAAAGAGTCCATGGAGTGTCCTGAATATCCTGGGAAACTTGTTTACAAATAGCACTTTCTAGGTGGTCATGACCAACAAAATCTAGAACAAAGAAGACCCTTGCCCCCCCCCCGCCCCACTGCTTTATTAGCAGCATACTCTACTGCTGACATTGCTGGATGTCTGTAGAGCTGTTTATCTTCCACAGAAGTGATCAGCTTTTCTACTGCTTCCCTAGCCAAGAGATGCCAAGAACATTTCCATTTTCTATTATGATTAGTAGCAAGACATAGAATTACTAGCTCAAATCCTGGACACCAAGCTAGAAAGACAGGAGTTGAGAAGACTATTTTGGAGGCAGGGTGTCTAAGCATGGTAGTGGTTATATGGACCTCAGCTACATGGCCTGGTAAATGTTACTCATTGGACTGGTAAGAAGTTTTCTATGAGCTTTGATTAGTGTTGATCACTAGGACATAATTTTTATATCCTATCACTTGGAGTGCACCAGTTCTTAGAAAAAACAAGAAGGTGAGCTATGATAGCATAGAAGTCACAACTGATGTCAATTGCCTAAGTGCTAGTTTTGTCCTAACATCCCATGGTTTAGCACAAGTTGTATTAGAATCACTGAAAAATGCCATGTGATATAACACTTATTTTTTTTCTTGGTTTCTTTGCATGATCAACTGATTAAAAGTTAATGCCATGGAACCTCCCAGCGATGAATGTCCTTAGAGACTCCACTGCCTGGTCTCTGCTGTGACTCTTCATCTGAAAATACCTGACTCTTGCCCTCTTCCCACAAGGGGCAGTTCAGCTGCCCATTTCTGCTGTGTGATCAAGACACTCCCTGTACCAGGATCCCCATGGGACTTTCTCTGCTCTACATATTGCCATCTAATCAGTATGAAAAAGCGTCCATTGTAGTAAATGCCACTTTAATTACAAGCTTGCTTCAACTGGATTAGATTCAAAATAAGCACGCTTAAGACAAAAATTAGATCGGAAAAGCAAAATTAGTAATAGAGCTACTGGGACAAGAGGCTATTTTTATTTCAAGATTAAATGATTTTCTTTTCTAATTCTCATTTTAATATGTAGATCATTATCCAACACCATATACTGGTTCACAAGTAATTCAGTTCCTTTCCTGAGTTTACTGTCTTGCTCTCCATTTCAAGGTATCTGGAATTTTGATGCAAGAGTAAATCACTAAGGACAAACTTCTATGAACAGGGGCACTTCAGCCAGACATGGTTTCAAATTCTGGCTGGAACACGTTTTAGCAAAGGAATAATCCCTGTGCCATATTTATTTCTCTATGCTTTACCTTTTCAGTCCTAGGATGGCAAGAGATAGCATTTATTTCACAGGGTGATTTTAAGGACACATGAAAGAGTGTATGTAATGTCTTTGTCAGATCACCTGGCAAATATCACCTAAGAAATTTTAGTTATTGAAATCAGAAGGAGACTGCTTACTTGTTTGATTTATGTATAAATCTAGAATGGAGAAGACAAGCTTCCGTTCTAGCTCTGGCATGTATAAACTGTGGGACCTGGACTAGCATGTTTCAGCTTTGTGTGCTGTGCTAGCAAATGTAACACGGGGATAAAAAGATCCATGTGACACGTGTGGTTCCTGGGTGCCATGCAGACTAATACAAGCTTCTTATAAAAGATTACCTCATCTCTACTTATATGTGTGGAATAAATTAACCAGGAAAATTTTGGAGTAACTATTATTTAAAGATTCCCAGTGCAATCTATATACTCTTTTGAGCTCTATGGCTGGGTACAAAACCTTATTT